TGATGAAATATACATGCACATATGTCATGTATTCTGTCACACATGTATTCTATGTAGCTAAATATTATAGGCAAAAAATTTCAATAGATCATTATAAATGTCTTTTTGTGTGTGCTAGTATGTGACAAATGATATAGCATGTTTTTGCATGCAAATCTTAAAAAAAATAATAAAAAGGCAAGAAATTATTAAACACATTTTTTTTATACTCTAAATCTACTAGCACGATTATTGTTAATTGTTGTTAGGAGCATTTGTTATTTATAGTGTGGAGTCAAGGGTAATAAGTATGTTTATACTGTGTTCTTATATATACATGTGATGTAAGCTAGTGAAAGGATGGAATGAACTAATATTTGTTGTCACTTCATCTCATAACCTTTCCTTTTTCTTTCTTCATTCTTTTTCCTCTTATTTTTCCACCTTCCTTCATCTATCTCTAAATAATCTTAGAAAAACAACTTGGTATGAGCACAACAAACATCAACATTGTTTTCGGGGAGTCAACTATTTTTGCTGACTTCAACAATGACAACATGTTGATGCTAGCACAACATCACTATAGTGTTTAGATTGTACTTTCAGAAATGCCTTGACTCCATGAACAAAAGCCCTAGCATCTCATTAACAATTGTTGTTGTTTAAGCTGTTAGTTTTGTAGGAAAAATGTTAGGTTTCAGCTCTGTAAATCCTTGAATATTGTGAACTAGAGGTTTGCTTGTTGGAATGAGTGAGAATGATTATTTGTAATCAAGTTTGGAGGGTGGTTATTAGTTAGTGACTAGTTAGGTTCTTGTGGTGATCAAATATATAGTCCTTTGTAGTGTTTTGAATATAACAGAGAAGAGTTCAACTGATAAATCTAGTCTCCCCTTTGGTAAGAGTAGTTGGGGCCGAGTTGGAGTTGTGAGTGAGAATCCTACCATCCAAATCAGCCTTATCAAACTAGATGGAAATAATTATCTAACTTGGTCCTGATCTTGTCTATTGTTGAGTGAGGCATGTGGACTGTATGGATACATCACAGGAGGAAAGGAGAGATCAATAGCTGGCGACTCAATATTCAATCAATAAGAGTAAAAAAACTCTCTAGTCATGTCTTGACTCATCAACTCCATGCAATCTTTGATTGCTAGTGGTTATCTCATATTGGATTCTGCTTTAAAAATCTAGAATGTTGCCAGACAGATGTGATCATAATTAGGCAATGATACACATGTTTACAAGCTATGAAAAAAAGGTTCATGAAACCAAGCAAGGTGATATGTCTATAGCTCAATACTTTCTGAATTGAGTAATTTGTGGCAGGAGTTAAACTTCTACCGGGTTTTCTAGGCTAATTGTTAAAGTTTCAAAAACTAATTGATAAGGAATGTGTTTATGACTACCTAGCCGGGTTAAACATTGAATATGACCAAATTAGAGTTCATGTTTTAGGAAAGAGCCTTTCCCTTCCTTTCCTTGACGTAGACTTATTCTTATGTTTAGTAAAGGAAAGTAGAAATGCAATGTCGCATCCAATCAGAGGTCAGCCATGATAGGTCTCTCCAATCAGAAAAACTTTAGAGAAGTATTTACACATCTTAGTGAACCAAGGTTAGCAGACAAATAACAACTAATGTGTGATTATTGTAGACAAACCAAAATACCTAGGAGACATATCAACAGTTATATGGATGTCTTTTAAGGGAACGAGGTGGGAAAATAATTGGTCATCCTAGATTGCAAGCACTTTTGTCAAGAGATAACTGAAAGTCCAGTTCTTGATTGTCAATCAAACTCCCCAACTCTGTCCAAGGAAGAGGTTCAAACACTTGGACATCTAATGACCAAACTTGTTTCTCCCTCTTCATCCAACTTTGCAAATGCAAGTATGCCAATGATAACTTTTAATTCCTCAACCATTTCTTATTTTGATCCTTGGGTTATAGATTCAGGAGCCAATGATCACAAGACTAGGTCTTCAATTTTTTTTTTCATTTTACAATCCTTTCTCATGTAAAGATAAAGTTGGTATAGCTGATGGTTCCCAAGCTCCTATTTCTCCCATTTTTGTCAAAGGTTCAATCCAATGTATTTCTACTTTATCTTTAATCTCTAGGCTTCACGTTCCTAAGTTCTTTTCTAATCTTCTATCTATTATTAAAATAACTAAATATTAAAGGGTAAAGTCTCATTCTATTCCCACACATTATGTGTTCAAGGACCCTGAAGATGAAGAAGATGATTGGCTATGGTAGAGTGAATGATGGCTTATATTGGTTAGAAGCTGGTTTTGTTGGTCTAGAAAACACAAGTGAGTTCAAACATGGGCTGATGACCATTTTTAAGCATGTCAATCAAGAATTACTTTCATGACATAATTAATTGGGGCATCCATCTTTTGTAGCTCAAAGAAAGCTTTTTCCAGCACTATCTAAGCAATGTACTACAACAATTTTATCTTGTGATGCTTGTGAATTTGCTAAGCATATACGTGCTACTTGTTCCTCAACTAATAATAGAAGTAGTAAACCTTTTATGGTGATCCACTCAGATGTTTAGGATCTTAGTCTAGTTGTTTCCTTATTTGGATGTAGGTGGTTTGTTATTTTTATTGATTGTTATAGTCTTACTACTTGAGTTTATTTGATGCATGATAAAAGTGAAGTGTTTTCTTGCTTTAAGAGGTTTCATAACATGATTTTTACACAATTTAATGCTAAAGTTCAAATCTTAAGGAGTTATAATGGTTCAAAGTACGTGGATGGAGGTTATGTTGGAACATGAGATTTTGCATCAGACTAGTTGTGTAAATACTCCAAATTAGAATGATATAGCTGAGCGAAAGAACAAAAACTTATTAGAAGTTGCCAAATCTCTCATGTTCACAAGGAATTTGCTCAAAACCTACAGGGGAGGTAAGATTCTTATAATAACATATCTCATTAATAGGATGCCACTAAGAGTTCTTGAGTTTATAACTCCAATAGAATTCCTACATTGTCTTGCAAAAAAACCTAGGGTGTGTTTGCTTTGTTTGGGATCATCGACAAGCTGTTGGTAATTTGGATCCGCGAGCATTGAAATATGTTTTCATTTGATACTTTGCTACTAAAAAGGATAATGTTATCATCCTCCAAGTAGAAAAATGTTTGTGGGCATTGTGTAACTTTTCATGAAAATGAGTTATATTTTGTCATCTCACATTTTAAGGGGGAGGTCAATGAGAGGGAGGATATGTTCTTGGTATCTCTTACCTTGTTTAATCTTGGGCTAGAATTGGAGGGAGCAAATCAAGGGGAGAGAGAGAAAGGAAATGAAAATCCACCATAAGCCAAGGAATGTAGGAGTGATGAGGAACTAGGAGAGAAAAAAGTAGTTCAGGAAGATGATGGGGAAACTAGAAAGGGACAAAAGGAGAAGGTTTGGTAGGCTTACACTCGCAAGAAAAAAAAGAAAAATAATGAAAGAAGTCAATGAATCAACAATATCTAGCCTAGAACCATCTTTGAATTCAACCTTACAACATACACATGACTATTAAATTCCTAACTCTTCCACTGACAATATTATTCCTTCTATTGATGATCTTCCTTTAATTCTTTTAGAAAAGGAGTTTGAAGTTATATTTAACATCCTTTATCTAATTTTATGTCATATGATCACTTGTCACCTTCATAAAGAGCTTTTGTATCCTCCTTTTCTTATGTGTCTATTCTTAATGATTTTATGAAAGTTGTTAAAAATACCAGGTGGAAAGAACCCATGGTAGAGGAAATAAGAGCTTTGTTGAAAAATAATACATGGGAGCGCACAACTTTTCCTACAATAAAGAGAGTGGTAGGTTGTGAATGGGTTTTCTTTATTAAACAGAAGCCAAATAGAAATATTGATAGGTACAAGGCTAAGGGATATACCCAGACTTGTGGAATTGACTAGCAGAAAATGTTTGCTCTTATTGCAACAATGAACTCAATCAATGTATTGTCATCTATTACAACAAATCTAGGATGGGACTTCCAACAATTAGATGTTAAGAATGCTTTTCTATGTTAAGAATGCTTTTCTAGATGGAAACCTAGAGGAAGAAGTGTATTTGGAAATTCCTCCAAGTTTCTCTTGTGAGAAGGCGAAGGGCAAGTGTGCAAGTTGAGAAAAGCTTTATATGGCCTTAAAAAATCTCCTTGTGCTGGGTTTGATAGATTCAACAAGGCATTTGTTTGATTTGGGTAAAAGTAAAGCAATGGAGACAACACCATGTTTCATTAAACATCAATAAGACAAGACTATAATTCTCACTGTACATGTTGATGATATTATGGTAACAGGAAATTATTGTGGTGACAGGAAATGATCACGAGGAGGTTTATATGATGAAGGAGCATCTTACTAAAGAATTCACAATCAAAGACCTTAGGAGGTTGCGTTACTTTCTAGGAATTGAAGTTGCAAGGTTAAGTAAAGGCATCTTTATTTTTCAAAGAAAATATATTCTTGATATACTAGCTAAAACAAGCCCAACCAATTATGAAGGTGAAGTAGTTGAAAAAGGGACATATCAAAGGTTGGTTGATAGGTTGATCTATCTATCACATACCGTACTTCATATAGCTTATTCAGTTAGTATTATCAATTAGTTTATCCATGATCCTCTCACATCCCACCTTGATGTTGTTTATCACATCCTTAGATGTCTAAAGTCTGCTCCTGACAAAGGGTTTTTGTTCTCCAATAATGGGCACTTAAAGGTAAAAGCCTTAATCGATGTTGATTGGGTAGGATCGCTGGTTGTAGGGGTGTTCAAAATAATCGATTAACTTAAAAAACTGAAAAAAAAAATTAACTGAAAAAATCGAACTGAAATGAAAAACTGATTAAATTGACTTTCAAAACCATAAATTTTAACAGGTGGTTTCGGTATAGCTTATTTAGTTAGTATTATTAGTCACTTTGTGCATGATCCTCTCACATCCCACCTTGATATTGTTTATCACATCCTTAGATGTCTAACGTCTGCTCCTGACAAAGGGTTGTTGTTCTCCAATAATGGGCACTTAAAGGTAAAAGCCTTAACCAATGTTGACTGGGTAGGATCGTTGGATGTAGGGGTGCTCAAAATAACTGATTAACTGAGAAAATTGATAAAACTGAAAAAAAATTAACAGAAAAAAACGAACCGTATTGAAAAACCAATTAAACTGACTTTCAAAACCATAAATTTTAACAGGTTTGGTTCGGTTTTGAACCAAAAACTGGACCAAACTGAACCACCATAAATTTTAACAGGTTCGGTTCGGTTTTGAACCAAAAACTGGATCAAACTGAACCGGTTTTGAACCAAAAACTGGACCAAACTGAACCAAACCCACTAAACAATTAACAAAAATTTATATATAAATAGTTAACTTGCAACCTAATCGGCTAACCTTAACAATTAACATAACCTTCCTGCCTCTCACAAAAAGCCGCCTCTTTACCCAGAGAAATTCCCAATCTTCCTTTCCCCGTTTCCTTTCAATTTTCAATTGTACTGCCATCTATGTTTTAGCGTTTAACAAGCAAAGCCTTGGCCTCCTCTGCTTGGTTCAACTTAAACATCCTATAAAAGAATCTACTCCAAAAATTCTCATCATTAGCTTTATAAGGCATAACCTCGGCATTAATCTCCCTCATCACCCCATTTTCACTAATAAACCTCTCAATCTCCTTTTTCTCATTAATCACAGAACCCGTGATTTTCATTTCTTATAATCCTCCTTATCCTTAGGTTCACTACAGTAAGTATCGAAATCACATTGCAATTCACGCACTTGAGCATCAACACGACTCTACTGTTTACCCAAACTACTTCTATTGTTATCAGTATTAGATAAGAGTAAATCATGATCATGATCAGAGGCTAAAATGGAGTCTCTATCTTGGGAAATGATATGGGCTGTTGATTTCCATATGGATTAGGTTTCTTGGTTTTTGCCAAAAAAACAGATTTAACTAAACTGGACCAGTTCAGTTTGAATTGGTTTTCAATCCGATTTGATTAATATTTCACAAAATTAATGTAATTCGGTTCGGCTGGTTTTTCTAGTCTAAACCAAACTAAACCGAACCAAATCGTGAACATCCCTAGCTGGATGATAGAAAATCCACATATGAAATTGGTGGTAATCTGGTGTCATGGAGGAGTAAAACATAACCTGCTGAAATTGGTGGTAATCTGGTGTCATGGAGTAAAACATAACCTGTAGTATCTTGATATAGTGTAGAAGCAGAGTATCGAGCAATGGCTTGTGGCATATGGAGTGTATGTACTTTTGTGGAAAAAAAAATCTAATGTATAAGGTAAGCTGAGAATAACTATTGGTGGTCTTATGCATTGTTCTGTGATGCAAAACAACTATTAACAATGTCCATAATCCAATTCAACATTATGGGATGAAGCATATTGAGGTTGATAAGCACTTTATTAAGAAGAAGTTGAATGAGAAGACTATTTGTATTTTTTTTTGTAAAAACTAAAGAACAATTACCTAATGTGTTTACTAAAGGCCTTATTAAGAAGATGTGCATGAGAGATATCTATGTAAAAACTAAAGAACAATTACCTAATGTGTTTACCAAAGGCTTTATTAGGAAGATGTGCATGAGATATATCTATGCCTCATCTTGAGGGGGAGTGCTAGGAGCATTTATTATTTATAGAGTGGAGTCAAGGGTAGTAAAGTAATTTTATACTCTTTTCTTATATATACATGTGATGTAAGCAAGTGGAAGGATGGAATGAATTAATATTTGTTGTCACTTCATCTCACAACCTTTCTTTCTTCCTTCGTTTTTCTTCTTATTTTTCTACCCTTTATCCATCTCTAAATAATCTTATAAAAACAATTTTAATTAATAACCATTCACTGCAACATTTACAGTAACAACAAACTTTAGACAACAAATAAATAAGAAATCATTAATACTTTGGTCGAGTTTGTTATGTGACCTTGCATAACTAAGTATGAAAATTTTTAATTTTATTTTTATCTTTTGGACAACGTCAATACATTAGCAAAATGTTTAGCATTAGAGAATCTGGAAAAGAAGTTTTGAAACCGAATAGGAATGGGATATTGTTTCACATAAGATGAGGTTTTCGTGACAACTAATAAGCAAATGTATTTTTTTGTAAGAAGATAGTGGCACCATTTATGGTTCAAGTCTTGTGAAGTTTCACCAAGAGGACTTTATATTGTGGCGCCATTTATGGTTCAAGTCTTATGAAGTTTCACCAAGAGGACTTTCTTTGAAAGCACAGGAAGCATAATGAAAAGAATTCAAAATCATAAATTGGAAAATAACTTATGCCAATGTGAAAATATAAATAAACTTTCAGGTATAATTTCAGTGTGATATTTTTTTAGAGTTTGATGGGTCAGTTTAATTTCATGGTTATATTTTAAAAGTTATTTAGGAAGTCTCTATTTAAATATTTTGTAACTAGGGAGAATTGGATTGCTGTTAGTAGTAGAAAATTTGTAGGGAACTAACAATGAATATATGCATAACTGCCAACGTATCATCATAATTAATTTTCATGGTGTTCAGATTATACATAATTCATCAAATTTTATGCCTTGTTCTGTCTATACCAAAGCCTGGTTACATTTTTTACCTTTTAATACATCATACAGTTAGGCTGGTGTTAGGGTTACCATGTAAGCTAGGGTTGCATGTGATTTGATTTGTAAACATATGCGGCCTAGCAATATATCATGTAAATGCCATTCTTGGATTATACCATGTTCTTACTTTTTTGGAATGTGCAGTTTTTATGTTTCTTTTTATTGTCATTTTGCCTTTCTGAATCTGCTACCACATTATGTCAAACCTAGTTTCACACTGTTTTGACCTGCATACACTTGTGTGGTTCTTGTCATTGACGTGAGGCAATTTTTGCACTAATTTTGAGGATGGTGAATGGCGTTGCAAAGGGAAATATCTTGTTCCTGAAGTGAAAGCTCTAAATATGTGTGAAATGTCGTCTATGCTATGTCTTTCATGGGCCTGATAATGAAATTGGTTCTGTAAGACTGAACATGAAGCTCATAAATGTCTCTGACATCTCAGGATTTAGTTCTTCTCCTGCTAACATCTGGAAGGGATCCTGGCATAATTCCACGCAATGCATATCCACCAGAACCGGATAGCTTTTATGGGAGTGCAGATGTTGGGTCTGGTCAAACTCCACAATTACGCCTGCCACGCATTAAGGAGGTGGGATTCAATGGAATGACTGTGAAAGTCAAGTATTGTGATACTTGCATGCTTTACAGACCACCTCGCTGCTCGCATTGTTCAATATGCAATAACTGTGTAGAAAGATTTGACCATCACTGCCCTTGGGTTGGGCAGTGTATTGGCTTGGTAAGTGATCCTCTTTTTTATAATTGTGATACTGTAACTGTGAAATGATTTTCATCACAAAATAAAAGAAATATTATATCTGGTTCTATGACATCAATTGGTTAGGATAAGTAGTCATATTGCTGTGGATCTCTTGACTCTCTTCTGCTGAAGGGTATGATTAAATGCTTTGACCATGAAAATTCAGCCCTGTCTAGCTGATGCTATCTCAAAATTTGACGTGTCTGAACACATGGTCCCTGTTTTTTATTGATAATTTGAAAACTTAATGAAATGTCAATGTATTGAATATAAATAGTTCATGCATATAAATTAGCAAATTCTGATATTAATTTTCTAGAATTAATACTTCTCAAGTTACTGGCCTGGAAAGTAGTTGGATTTATTTCGTGCCTTGGTTGTCTTTTTGAGTGTCATGGCTCCTTAAATTGATTGATATGCTTCTGGGTGCAGATAAATTATCGATTCTTCTTCATGTTTGTCTTCTCAACGACCCTTCTCTGTATATATGTGTTTTCATTCTGCTGGGTCTACATTAGGAAGATCATGGGATCAGAGAACTCATTAATTTGGAAAGCAATGATCAAAACCCCTGCCTCGATTGTTTTAATAGTGGTTTGTTGGTGGCCTTACTGCCTTCCATTTGTATCTCATCAGCACAAATCAGGTATGAGAATAATCTTCCTCATTTCTGGACAATTTTATGAAGAATTCCATTCATTCACTCTGAATCAAAGTCTCTGTTATTAACAATACATTTTTTACTAATGGTCTGCCTTGCTTGTGCAGACTACTTACGAGAATTTCAGATATCGCTATGATAGGCATGCAAATCCCTTTTATAAAGGAGTGGTAGAGAACTTGAAGGAAATATTTTGCTCCAGTATCCCCCCATCCAAGAACAATTTCAGGGCAAAGGTGCCCAGGGAACCTGCACTACCAGCTCGAACACTTGGTAGGGGCTTCATGAGTCCAAATATGGGTAAAGCTGTAGGTGACATGGAAATGGGTAGGAAAACAGTATGGGGAGACCTGAATGCTATGACTGATGGCGAAGGACAACTTGCTGACAATGATCGGTTGAACATAAAAGATGGTGAACTAGGAGAATTATCCCTGGATATCAGGACCACAGTAGATGAAGTTGGAGACCATGGTGGAATACATCCTAGGCGATCGAGTTGGGGAAGAAAGAGTGGAAGCTGGGAGATGTCACCTGAAGTTCTTGCCTTGGCAGCTAGAGTGGGGGAATCCAACCGTATGGGTGGTGGGAGCAGCAGTGGCAGCTTGACAACTGATAACCAACAATCATAGATGTGGATTTGATCAGCACCAAACCTAGGAAATGGAAGAGGATCTGATTTGTCGAGTGCTGGGGGGTGATTGCTGACTAAATGGTTAGTTATTCAACTTCAAACATGGGGGAACTTCAGAGGGAGTGCTTGAAAAACTCTGTTGGTTTGATCATTGTGCTTTTAGGGTGTGGAATGGAATGGTGTGTTGTTAGTATGAGTGAGTTACTTTCAGTTTTTATTCTTGCATTTCTGGAATTAGATAGAGTCCAATTTCATTTTATTCGAGGAATCAGTTAGTGCCTTCCACTAATTCTTCCTCTCAATTTCGGAGACGATGATTTTGATCGCCACTAGCTCGATTCCTTATTTGATTGCCGTCGAGGTCGCCCTGCCGTATGGTGTATCAAGGCAATTAATATTGGTTGCCATCGGGGTCGCCCGGCCGTATGGTGTATCAAGGCAATTAATAACCGGGTCAGGCATAACACTAAGTAAGTCTATTTATTTTTTATTTTTTGTGTCAAGTATTTTAAAAAAAATTTGAAATTTTTTCTGTATTTTAAATATTTTTAAATTGTATTGATTTATTAATATTAAAAATAAAATTTTTAAAATAAAAATAAATTATTTTATTATGTTTTTAATAATTTAAAAAATAACTATAATTATAAAAACAAACAAAGGATGATGAAAATGAGATATTGAATGCTTTGGTAAGTCAGGTCTGTATAGCTGAAAGCCTAGATAACAAAAGGCAAGGTAGATATACTTTCAGCATTATATTAATGATATTAAATTCTAGCTCGATCACGTATTCAAAAAATAACAATTATATGTTACTCTTGAAGAGCAAATGTATATTCAATATGCTTTTTTTATTCATCCATGCTCATGCACGAGCTCATATATGACATATAGATTCTCTTTTAAAATGTATTTATAATACTTGACATATAGATCCTCTTTTAAAATGTATCTATAATACTAGACTGTGAAAAAAACAAATAAAAAATAAAAAAAGAATTTAGTTAGACACCTAACACAAAAAAAAAGTTGGAAAGTCTAAAGAAGAATGTAATAATATTTACTAGTAACTTAAATAGACTTATAAGGTCCAGATCTGGAAAAGGAATATCTTCCCAATCAATATTTACAACTTAGCCTCCATTACTTAGCCTCTACTGGTGCCTTCAATTCCTTTCAACCCACCAATTCTAGGGGCAAATGGGATGTTGTCTAAATCTCAACATGCTGCATATTTCTCATTCGCTCAATCAATATGTTCAATAAGGATGCCATATATTGTTGAGCTAATAATGGAAGAATTTGAAAAGGATAAGGTACTAGAGGTATGAAAAAATTGGCTACTCTAGAAAAAAGAATGAGGGCAATTAAAGGAAATAACTTGTATGATCCTATAAAGGCTGCTGAGATATGTCTTGTGCCCAATATGGTCATTCCAAAGAAGTTTAAAGTGCTAGAATTTGTCAAGTACACTAGAACTCAATGCCTAATAACTCACCTTAGAACTTATTGTAATAAAATGGCCAAAGTAGTTCATGATGAGAAGTTATTGATACACTTCTT